CTGACGAAACTTTTAAACCGTTTCTCGTATGTCTTTGAAATGAGACGGATTGAGAGTATATTCGATTCCTCGCCGTTGCAACATGTGAGCTTATAGTTTTTGCTTCATCTCTCACACAGGATAGTGGGTTGTGTTTTTGGTGATCCGCAAAGTTGTCGTGACTAGTGATATTCTTCGTGCGTATCCGTCGTGTTTATGAGCAGAACTTAGAGATTTGCATAACTTTTCTGCCTTCCGGTTCACAGAGAACCAACGATGTTCGGATTCTCGGAGTCATCGCGGTTTTTTCGCCATCATTTCGAGCTGAATTCGTCTTATTCTTCGAGTTTTGAGTGTGAGGGTTCTATGACCGGGCATCCTTCGAATGCTGATTTTTTTGGATGGTAAGTGTTACCTGTGGAATTATTCTTCGAAGATTCGCCTTTAAACTTGTGCCCATTCATATTCCTTGAATGGTTTAACAATTTCTAGTGATGTACAGTACTACTTTCTGTCATTTATATGGTTTTTGTTGGATTTTACAATACAGTGCTGCATCATCGCGGACTTTAATAAAATAATCCTCTCAAATATTGCGTATGCGTATCACTGATATGCATGCCCGTTTATGGAGTGGTTTTTGTTCGTACCAGCTTATTGTAAGCAACGCTTTTCATATTTTTAATCTAATTTAGCCTTTCTAGTCGTGGTTTCAAGCTGAATAAAACTTTCGTAAACCTCAAGCCTAAATATTTAGAAACTATTCGGACTCCACAAGTTCTTCGTAGTTTCGACGACTCAGCAGGAATCTTATACGAATTTGAATTCCTGTCTAATCATTTTCGTTTGCTGGACTTGTTGACTGCAATGCTCATTATTATGCAAAAGAATTCCTGCAAGTCACTTCTAAAATTTAGAGTTTACTCTTTTGGTCGGGAAGAAGGGATTATTTGTGAAATATTTTTGAATGCATCAGTGTGGACTAAGGTAGATTAGGACGCATTCAATCATTTTCGTTCGCAGTTCGATTACGAGACTCTCATAACCAACAAGGATTCAGTTCCCAAGTCGCTCCGAATACATTTACGGTAGTTCCTTTGAAGGATTTTTCTCAAGTTTTCTTTCAATTCTTGTACTTTATAACTTTTTTTCAACCTCGAGTTTTGCCTAAATTTTTGTACCTCTATAATTCTTAACTTGTTTTCAACCATGGCACCATACCGATTTCAAATTTAGAAAGTGACGGAAGATGTTTGAAAATTGTTGGATCTCATCACGTTGTTTTTCTTCAATAATTTTTCTACTATTACTGGGTGGTCTTCTGACTGAATTATTCTGTCGGATTAGAAGGACAGTGAACTTTCAACTTCGGTCAAGTTTTTGTTCTGCATTTAAGCTTTTCAAGATTTTTCCATTTCTTATGCCGACTGTAAGGTCGAAAAATATTCGAACGCTCGCAGGATCTTTTAGTAATGTCTGAAAGCATGTACAGTACAGTAAAATGTTCGAGTTGTCTCTGATGATGGAAATCGTTCGAATGAGACATGATTTTTTTTCATTTTTAAAGACCCTCTGAAATGTAATATGGGAAACAAGTCAGAGAACGAAGTGTTTTCGGGCTTTTTCTCCTCAAATTTTCTCTAGTTGAATTATATATTGTTAGTAATTATTTTTCAAGTGTACTGTATTTGTAGTCATGGTGTATCCATACTTTTTTATATGCCTCAAATTGAAAACCGTTGACTGTCGATCTAATGTCGTTCGCAGGAAATGTCGAAGACTGCGTTGCGTCCCGAAGAAGTGGAATCCGAAAGAAAAATCTTTCGGGATTACCACAATAGCTTTATCGACGAGCTTACCACGCTTCCGAAGATTTCAGAAGATTTACCAGAGGTAAAATGTCGAAGACTGCGTTGCGTCCCGAAGAAGTGGAATCCGAAAGAAAAATCTTTCGGGATTACCACAATAGCTTTATCGACGAGCTTACCACGCTTCCGAAGATTTCAGAAGATTTACCAGAGGTAACCTTGGGTGCCGATCTTTTATGACAGTACAATATTTTGATTCTTTTTCCCCTTCTCGTCTGTTTCAGGTCTCAGACTGGTGGAGAAAACTATTGTCGTACAATGTTTGCGGTGGAAAGATGAACCGGGGATTCATGGCATACCTGACTGCCGTGGTCTTGTCAGAGGAGGTTAGTCATGTTGGAAACCAGGTTATGCGGGATTATCTGCTCATGAAAGCTTTTAAATTTTCGCTGCAAAATGTGTTGAGTATCCTCGGAAAAGAGAGAGAGAGAGAGAGAGAGATCCGCGCTGACATATTTCGGGACAAAATTTGCGAACAAAAAAAGAACGAAAAACGTTTTCCTCTGGTTTTTGTGCGGGTCGATGATAAAATCACAAAAGAAATGACCTTCCGTGGGAAGCTATTTCGTTTCGTATACGTCGCTTTGGGTCCTCCAGAAGTCCAGAGATTCTAAATAGACCAGACTTCTTATTTTGTGGCAACACTCATTTTATGGACTTGATCCCTCCAGTGGGATTCCTTTTTCCGGAGGTTCTATTTAGAGAATGAAGGAAATGTGTACAGTATATCGTACGAATGAGTATACTTTGGTAAATGTGTTCCAAATTCGTTGTAAATGTCCTACTGGAAATATTTGCTTAATGAAATTTGTTTGAATTCATTCAGGAAATAAATTCAACAAAAATACTCACGAGACAAGGAGAGCACTGAATATTATTGAGAATAAGAAAAATATATATTCCCTGCTTGAAAAATTGGTCTGGTGGCCACATTTTCGTGATCAACCTACCACAGTATTATTTTTTATGTATGGACGAGCAATTTTTTTTTTGTCCGTTGTCCGAAT